CAATTCAAACCTTCATTAACTTCAAAACCCAGGTTGAATTGCAGTTGGATTTCAAAATTAAATCAATTCAATCTGATTGGGGAGGTGAGTACAGAGCTTTTACTAATTTTCTTGTGTCTCATGGTATTATTCACCGTGTCTCGTGTCTACATGTGCATGAGCAAAATGGTGTTGCCGAAAGGAAACATCGTCACATTGTTGAGAATGGTCTAGCTTTACTTGCTAAGTCGTCTTTACCTTTAAAATACTAGGATAAAGCATTCCGAACTGTTGTCTTTCTCTATAATAGGCTCCCTAATTCTGTTCTTCAATTCAAAACTCCTCCTGAAGTGTTACTTCACACTAAACCTGATTTTTCCCAACTAAAAGTGTTTAGTTGTGCCTGCTATCCTTATCTTAGACCTTACAATAAACATAAACTCAATTTTAGATCCTCTGAGTGTACTTTTCTTGGTTATAGTCACAATTAAAAAAGGGTACAAATGTCTTGATAAGTCTGGCAGAATTTTTGTCTGCAGGGATGTAATCTTTGATGAAAGGGTATTTCCTTTTTCAAAATTGCCTTCCACTTCTCTCCCTCCATCTTCTGTGTCTTCTGTTTCTTCTCCTACTCCTGCTATTCCTGTTGTCTTCCCTGTTCAGCCCTCTATTTTGCCTCATGCTCCTTCCACAACTTCGGATATTCCTAAGTCACCGTGTCTTGTACCTGCTCCAGGTCCCTCTCTTAGTGAATCAATTGTTGTGACTAATGTTCCTTGTGCAGACTCCTTTGACTCTTCTGTGCCTACATCCTTGGCACACCAACCATCTCAAAAAGGAAAGGAGGTGGTTAACTCTCATACTATGGTCACTCGCTCCAAGAGGGGTGTTTTCAAACCAAAGGTGTACATTGCAACCCAGGAGCCAACTTCAGTTCAGGATGCATTAGTTCAAGAACAATGGAGGGCCGCTATGAATGATGAGTTTTTGGCTCTTCTACGAAATGATACTTGGTCTCTACTTCCTCTGCCTGTAGGAAGAAAACCGATTGGCTGCAAATGGGTTTTCAAAGTTAAGGAAAATCCAGATGGCACACTTAACAAGTATAAGGCACGGCTGGTGGCAAAGAGGTTTAATCAAGTTGCCAGTTTTGATTTCAATGAAACTTTCAGTCCAGTTGTGGAACCAACAACAATTAGAGTCATTCTTACAGTTACTTTGGCAAGAGGCTGGTGCATTAGACAGTTAGACATCAACAATGCTTTTCTCAATGGTGATTTACTAGAAGAAGTGTACATGACTCAACCACAGGGGTTTGAGAGATCTGAAACACCCTCAGTTTGTTTGCAAACTTCATAAATCTCTCTATGGGCTGAAACAGACCCCCAGAGCTTGGTTTGACAAGCTGAAAAATGCTCTACTTGCACTAGGATTCATCTCCTCAAAGTCTGATCAGTCCTTGTTCATGATGTTTCACTCTCAACATGTCACTTTTATTCTTGTGTATGTAGATGATATTTTGCTAACTGGAAGTGATGATAAGGAGGTGCAACAGTTAATAAAATAGCTAAACAACTGTTTTGCTTTAAAAGATATGGGAGAAGTGAATTTCTTCTTGGGAATTCACGTCACTCACACTACTGATGGTGTGCTTTTGTCTCAGAAAAAAGTATATCATCGATTTACTGTGTAAGGCACGAATGCAGGATGCTAAGCCCATTGGAACCCCTATGACAACTAGCTTCAAACTTTCAGCCTTTGGAAGTGATGAAGTGGACAGCCCTCAACTATATAGAAGTATTGTTGGAGCTCTTCAGTATGTGACTATAACCAGGCCTGAGTTGTCTTACTCTGTCAATAGAGTTTGTTAGTTCATGCATAAACCACTTGAATCCCATTGGCGTGCTGTGAAGAGGATACTTAGATACTTGAGAGGCACCCTTGACTTTGGTCTTCATCTTCAGAAATTTGCCCAACTCAGTTTACTAGCCTACTGTGATGCAGATTGGGCTTCTAATCCAGATGATAGAAGGTCAACCTCTGGATATTGTGTTTTTCTGGGTTCAAATATTGTCTCCTGGTGTTCTAAGAAGCAGCACATGATTTCTAGATCCTCAACTGAAGCCGAATACAAAAGCTTAGCAAATGTGGTTGCTGAAATTACTTGGCTCTCTTCACTGCTCAAGGAGTTACGAATTGAAACTTTGACTAGGCCAGTGGCGTGGTGTGATAATCTCAGCACCGCGCAGTTGGCTGCCAACCCTGTTTTGCATGCTCGGACAAAACATGTGTAACTTGATCTATATTTTGTAAGGGAAAAGGTGATGCAGAAACAGATTGATGTCAAGCATGTTCTAGCTATTGATCAGGTAGCGGATGTGCTCACCAAGCCTATATCGAGTTCCCAGTTTCCTGTTCTTAGGCACAAACTCAAAGTTGAAAGTCTTTCAACCTTGAGTTTGAGGGGGGCTATTAGAGATAACTGATTAGTTATGATATTATTAGTTAGTTAGATTAGTGTACACGTGTCAGTAAGGCATTGGCCTTAGTTGTAATTAATTAGAGGTTATGTGAGCTATTTAAGATATTACTGTACAGCTTATTCAATAATGAAAAAGATTATTTTTATTCATTAGAAAATATCTCAGCCTTCTTTTTTGAAACTCAATATTTACAAACATAAATTTTAAGTGTAGGCTTTTCTTCTACCATTTTTCTAAACGAATTTACTTAAGGCCCTTGAGCACCGCAGCCAATGAGGCCACCATAATTTAAAGTTAAGAACTTGCATTAATTTTTCGGCGTATTTAGTCGAAAATGATATTTACAACTACATAAATTACTCATCGGATGAGCTTAGGTTTTTCTATCCAAATTTAACAAAGCAAGAACAATTAAACCGTTACTTTTAGACATCGTTTACTTCGCAGATTCGAGTTTTCAATTCGAGTTGAGATATAGCATTTTTCTGAGAGGTTTTCACTGTAGCAGAAAAAATTAGATGTGACATTTTTTGAGAGCTTTTTACTGTAAAAACATAAAACTAAAAACTCGAATCGGTGAAATGAACGAAGCCTTAAAGTGCATGGGAATTACTAAAGGGGAAAAAAAACTTAAAGTGCATGGGAATTACTAAAGGGGAAAAAAAACTTTCTTATCTATTCAAGGTTGACAAAGTGAGAATCACTAAAAGGGAAAAAAAATTTCTTTGAAAATTAAGAAATGGAGAAAAAAGTAAATAACATTTTTATTGAATAAAGAGCATAAATTAAGTAAAAAAGAGAAAAAAAATTAAATAGCATTTTAACTGAAGTAAATAGTATATTATAAAATATTTAGAGTAAACAGCCGTTGTAATAAATTTATTAGGCATACAAATTTTTACTTCTGATAATGGTTATTTACCTAAATTTATTTACTTTGTACTAATATTTACTTAAAAAATCCAAATTTCGTCCAAAAACAAAAATCCAAAAGATTGCCAACGTGGCTATTCGGAAAAGAAAACCGCCGCGGTTTCTCAAAAGAAAAAAAAGGCAACGCAAAAAATATTTAAAGCGAACGAGGCCCGGATTTCCAGCGTGTCAAGCCTCCCCGTCCGTCGGATCATCTTCGCAATTACTCCGTACGCATTAAACTTCACTTATCATGCTGCAATCTCATTGGCAGAAACCAAGACAACCGGATCGCCAGCGTGTCATCCCACCCTATAAAACGCCTTCTCCATTTCCCAAATTTCCCACCAAACATCATATTCGAAAAACTCAGAGCGATTGACACATACTTCCTTTCAATTCAAATCTTCTTTTCTTTCTGAAAAGCGGAAAAGCTCGAAAGCTCCATCAATGGATGCCACAAAGACCAAGGGCGCCGGAGGCAGACGAGGCGAGAGGAAGAAGGCCGTCTCGAAGTCCGTCAAGGCCGGTCTCCAGTTCCCCGTCGGCCGTATCGTCCGCTACTTGAAGAAAGGCCGCTACGCCCAGAGAACCGGCACCGGCGCTCCGATCTACCTCTCCGCCGTTCTTGAATATCTCGCCGCTGAGGTATTTCAAAAATTCCAGATCTGAATCTTTTAGTTTTTAGGTTTCGGTTTGCGTTTTTCTTTCCCCTGGGAAATGATCCAATTAGGTAACGAATTTGAAATCGCAGGTTTTGGAGTTGGCCGGAAATGCCGCTCGCGACAACAAGAAGAACAGAATAAACCCCAGGCACGTACTGTTGGCGGTTAGGAATGACGATGAGTTGGGGAAATTGCTGCAGAGTGTGACGATTTCCAGTGGCGGCGTGCTTCCCAACATCAACCCTGTTTTGCTTCCGAAGAAGTCCCACAGCGCTTCTGCAGATGGCGAGAAGGCTTCCAAAGCCGCTAAGTCGCCCAAGAAGGCCGCCGCCTAAATGGTTCAAAAGAGGAGAATAATATATAAAAAGAATTAGCACTTTTTTGTTTTTGTAACTTAGATCTGGATAATGTTATTAGGATTATTTTCTTTCTTTTGTCTTGGGTCCCAGTGCAAATATGTAGCTCCGTTTACAGTGTATCCGAAATTTCTAATGGAATTTTTCTTTATTTCCTTTTTATTTTTCGCTATTTTTTTTTAATTATTGCATTTTTTTTTTGCATTGCTTTTCCACGAAAGAGAATCGATAAATTTCGCACTATTACTTACCACCAGTGATTTAGAATTGTTTAGTTGATGGATTTATTTTTTAATTTGAATCATAATTTATAATTAGTTATAATATTTTTTTTATAAAAAATATATGTAAATTAAAAATAATTTTAATTTTATGATTTTAATTTATAAATTAAATAGGCTCTTAGTTTGCTTTGCAGTGAATGAAATTATTCTATATCCAATTAAAAAAAAAAAAACAAGAGAAGAAAAAAGAAGTTGGAATAAATTCGCGGGCGTTTAGTGGATTGATAACGGACTGGGCTTTGGGCTTGGGCTTTTACGTGCTCTTACAGGAAAGCCTCGTCTTGTTTTACTCTTCAAACACACAGAAGGTAAGGGGTTTATGCTGGGTTTAGACTCTCAAAGCAATTGAGATTCGATCGGAGACTTCTGGAAACAGCGATCTTTTTTACTAATGAGGCATTTCATTGTGTGTTTCTGCTTCCATTATATATATATATATATTGTTTTTTACGCAACACTAGAGTTTGATTTTATTACACTTATGTTAATTTATACATTTTTGTCGTCATTTAATCTCATATTTGTTTTGGGATCCAATTTTGGCAGAGGAAACTTTCAGTTTTTGATAGAAGCTCAATTATCCGGATTTTGAGTATTGCGGCTGGAGGGTCCGGTCTATTTTACGCCAACAACAATGGTAGTTTTTTAGTGGGCTTTTTTTGTTTTTATTTTTTATTTAGGATTAGGAGTAGTTTCGCTAATTTTTCTTCCAAGTAATATGTTTGATTACTGCGAAAAAGTTGATACAGAAATGAATTGCTTGTTCTTATTATATCTGCGATCTTATTTTATTGTGAGTGTGAAAAACCCATTATATTTCTTTTAAAATATCTGAAAATGATCTTAGTTATTGAATTTAGAAGCTACTGTGTCTGTGTCGCTTTCGGAGCCATTGCGGGAATCATTGCCTCTGCCATGGAAAATAGGAGAAAGAATGCCTCTTTGCCCTGCATTTCTCATTTCGGATAAATGGCAATTTGGTTTGTCCCTCACTATTTCATTTCTACTGTCAACGCCTTCAACGTTGTTGTTTTTTTTTTTTTTTTTTTTTTTTTTTTTTTTTTTAAATCCTCTAACTTTTTTTTTTTTTTTTTTTTTTTTTTTTTAGCTTTTTTTGTTAACGTAGTTGGTTGGGGGTTGGAAATGTAGGACTACTTCCATTATTTTCTGTTAGTGCTGGTTCAATTCCATCATCTGATGAAAACGAAGCTTCAGCCATATCCGAAAGTACCCCCAAACGATGTCCCGGATGCTTGGGCAGAGACTCTATTGCGAATGCAGGTGCTAGGGTGGGACCTGCTGTTGTCAACATATCCATTCATCAGGGTATACATTTTAGCAACTTTTTCAGCCAGTTATGGTTTTGAATATCAAGGTTGTTATTTGTTGAGCTGTGTTTTTGTAGGTATGTTTGGAATTGGTGGTGGGAAGGGTATAGGTTCTGGAACTATTATTGACAAGGATGGTACCATTTTAACTTGTGCTCATGCTGTGGTCGATTTTCACGGAGTGCGAGCTGCATCAAAAGGAAAGGTTAGTGGTTTTATGGTTTTTCTTTGTGTTCTCATTGGTAAGAATGCCATTCGAGTATTGATTGTCATCAGCTCAATCATTGTTTCAAGCGAATCAGTCATACTCCCATATGACTTATAACAGGCAATCATAATTAGAATTTTCTTAGTTTGCAAATAACTTTGTATTATGTAACTTATTCATGCGGTACTGAAAGGTGCAGCTTGATCACCTCCTTTTCAGGGAGAGCTAATGCATATCGGGTATTTTGGTTTGCTGTATGACATGACAGTCTAATATGAAATACGTATTCTTAACGGGCATGCATGAGTGTGTCATTCTCAATTTTCACCAGTATTCACTTGAAAAGAGCGG